AGCCCTCCCCTCTTCTCCACAGAAAAACCTCCCATCCCATTAATTTGCGTCTGAAACTGAATTTTGCCTAAATCCGAGCTTCTGAGGAATTGCAAATATCGGTTGGACTGCCACGCGACGGACACTGCTGCTGGTGCGGCACAGCGGCTGGACAAAGTTGTGGCCCTCTCTCGGCGCGGTGCCGATCAGATGTCGCTTTAAATGTTCTCGCGCGTGGCTCTGTGAAATCCGCTTCAGCGGGCCGTTCTTTGAGTGCTCCACTGCTCTCTGCGACAGATCCAAATGGATTCTCCTGTCGCTGTTTTGTTTTTGTGGTCGCTATGAAACAATCGATACAACTTTTTTGTATTATGATCCAATTTAGTTTCGCAAAGCACTCCGACTGTCATCGGTGTGATTGCTGGGCGCCTTACAACAGCTGTTGTAGGCACCGTGCATATTCGCTGTGCAGTCATCCAGCTGTGCATTGATCATAGGTCATGATGGTGATGATGAATTACAACAAACCGTCGACTCCACGCGTGTATTAACTTTATGGCTGCATGCCGCAGTTAGATGAGTCGTAATAATAAAAATCTAACTTTTGTCAATCGACTGCTGGATGAAGGTATCGCTATGTCGTGTCGATCTTGGGGGACTGTTTGACCATATTTCACCACGCTGCTCGGCGTGGGTCGGTGACGGGTGGGGGAGGGAAGGAGCCCACAACCGGTTGGATATCGCTCGGGAATTAGCCGTGGCGCGGAATCGAACTGAGGTCGTCTTTGTTCGTAAGTGCAGTGCGCTAACCATGTCGCCACCGCTCCGCCCGCAATTTGTAAAGTGAACATGGGGGAGTGATTTTTTTTTTCTCTATCAACATTTATACAAAAAACAAGCCTTAAAACTGCCGACTTTCAGTGCAGTTAGGGAACTCTTCCTCATCAGAGGGAGGCACGGCACACGAAGGGGAGTGGTCGGTTGTGGTAGTGATAGTAAAGGTGGTGGTGGTGGCTTCAAAGTGAACCTAGCCTGGCACCAAGCCGCCGTCGTGACATAATCACCGCTTTAGTGTCGAAAGGCGACTGTTGTTGCGATCGTTGTTGTTATTGTTGTTGGCAGCCTTGCGGTCAACCACATACCCGCGTGCGCCCGGACCGCCTTTGTCTCCCTAGCGGTGAAGTTGACGTCCATGGAATGCGCGCGCACACCAACCACGCGTGTCGCGTGACTGGTGACAGATGCTCCTTGCTCGCGCGCTCTCAGAGTAAACATCGCTCGCATATTAGTAGCGGGGGGGGGGGGGGTCTATGGAGAGAAATCAGTGGGGGGGGGAGGCTGAACAAACGCTCCCAATATTAACAAGAAGCGAATAATTAGAGGCCAAGCAAAGCGATAATGAATAACTAAGGCGCGCTAATGAGTGATGCATGATCATTTCCCAGCGCCGCGCTTTCGAGATATTGATAAATGCCGAGCCGTTCGCTGGCACTAATTGTCTCTGACGCCTGCCCAGCGATTAAACGCCTCCATCAATCTCAGCAGACATGTTTGCATTTTGCCCCCCACCCTCATCCCCCCTCTTCCCCTCCCACCATTCCTTCCCATCTCCTTCCTTCCCCCTCTCACCATTCCTTCCCATCTCCCTCCTTCCCCCCCCTCCCGCCCTCCTCCGCCCCCCTCTCGACGTCTCTTACCCCACCGTACTTGCAGACTATGCCCGAACGTCATTAAAATGTCATAAACGCAAACGTAATGGAAGAAAATTGCTCGCATTAATAGCCTTGAATATTGAAATGTAATATATACAGCAAGAAAAGAAGCCAGGAGAGAGAGAGAGAGAGAGAGGGAGAGTGGGGAGGAGAGGATCGTTTATTGAATTAGATGCCCCAGCTCGTGGCAGGGAAGTTACGCGGAGTGGGGAGCGATACCATTACCGCCGACTCGAGAGGGAGCTTGCACCGGGGATAAGCGGGGAAGTGGGTGAGAGGCTAAAGGGGCATCCCTGCAATGTTGTCGCTCAATCCGCCGCTGACGGAAGAGCCTCACTCCGGAGGGAGCTTTGCCGAGTTTCTCCTGGAGAGGAGAGGGCATCGTAACGATCAGCATCTTGATTGAGACTGTAGGAGGAATCAGATAAGTCACGAAGCTTTTATTTTTATTCTCTCTCACAGATGGTCCAGTTATGGGCGGTGTCACCACGTGACACGATGGCCAAACGTCTCGGAATTGGTGGAAGTTACTCACAATTGTACCCCAGGGCACGCGACCTGCGTGACGGGACCAGCTATGGTGTTACCCATGTGCTGTATACGGCTGGGTGGACAGAGGTGGGGTGAATGGTGGGGGGGAGGGGTTAAGACACTCACACAATTATTTATTTCGACTGCCGCGCCGGAAGATCGGACCGATGACGTCGTTCATAGTGCAGTGCGCACACCACTGCCCCACCGCTCTGTCACTCTCTTTCTCTCCCCCAAGACCAGCCATTATCGAGCTTAAATTAAACATAAGTCGCTAACCTAATAACACTCGCGTGGACAGATCCGACGAGATCGCCTTCGTTCCGGGTGATTCTGTCATAGGCGCTATGCGTGAGTGTGACTGTGTGTGTGTAAATCTGTGTGCGTGTGACTCTGTGTGTGTGTTCTGTGTGTGTGTTTTGTGTGTGTGTAACTCTGTGTGTGTTACTGTGTGTGTAACTTTGTGCATGTGTAACATTGTGCGTGTGTAACTCTATGTGTGTAACTCTGTGTGTGTGTAATTCTGTGTGTGACTCTCTGTGTGTGTGACTCTGTGTGTGTGCAATTCTGTGTGTGACTCTGTGTGTGTGTAATTCTGTGTGTGACTCTGTGTGTGTGAAACTCTGTGTGTGTGTAACTCTAAGAAGGAGTTGGAGGCGCTGCTGCTGAACCTGGAGCCTGCCACTAATAGGTTGGGGCCTTATCATCAGCCCCACCAAAACTAAGCACCTGCCTTGGTATGTTGTACCATCGGGCATTCCACCCCCACAACTCCCAATTGGTGATAGGGAAGTTGTGGAGAGAGTGGACAGTTTCCCATACCTGGGCAGTGTGCTCATGACTGGCTCCGGTTTTACAGCTGAGGTCTCACTCCGAATCAGTCGAGCGGCATTATCTTTTCATCGGTTGCATAACGCTCTGTGGAAGCTACCTGGTCTGTCGCTCCGCACGAAGCTTCAGGTCTTCTCGGCCACGGTCATTCCTTCCCTTCTCTACGCTTGCGAAACGTGGACCCCCTAATGGAACATCTTCTTTGGTTAAAAACATTTAGGCTGGCCTGCCTACGATCTATCCTGGGTTTAACCAGGCTGGATTGCGTGAGGAGCTCACAAATCCTTGAAAGATCTGGACAAAGTCCCATCGGTGAGCTCCTTCGGCAGGCAAGGCTGCGTTGGCTGGATAACTAGCCGCATGCCCAGCCACCGCATGCTTAAACAGCTTTTGTTTGGCCGGATCGAGGGGGCTAAACGGGCGCGGCACGGGCTAGAGAAGAGATGGAGTAATGTTGTACAGGAGGATGTGCAGCTGAGTGGACTTGCCGATGACTGGTACCAGCGGTGTCAAGATCGGCCTCTGTGGAGGAGGCTCGTGAAGGACGCTACTGGGCAGTTTGAGGCAGTCACCCTCCAACAACAACGAAAGGCGGCGGAGCGACGCTCACAACAACGAGCGGAGCGCCGGGTGGCTAAAGCACTGCAAGTTTTCACAGTAGGGGGCACAGGTGGTGCATCAACCAGTCATCTCAGTCAGTTTACCCGTGGCACCTGGGTCTGTCCCGTGACCTCGTGTCAGCGGGCGTTCGAAACTTCACGTGGCCTCAACGTGCACATAGCCTGGCACAAGTGTCGTGGTGACGTCACCGCCACTTGGTGGCGAATGGCGGTTGTTGTTGTAACTGAATGTGTGTTACTCTGCGTGTGTAACTCTGCGTGTGTAACTTTGTGTGTGTAACTCTGCGTGTGTAACTCTGCGTGTGTAACTCTGTGTGTGTAACTTTGTGTGTGTAACTCTGCGTGTGTAACTCTGCGTGTGTAACTCTGTGTGTGTAACTTTGTGTGTGTAACTCTGCGTGTGTAACTCTGTGTGTGTAACTTTGTGCGTGTAACTCCGTGTGTGTAACTCTGCGTATGTGTAACTTTGTGTGTGTAACTCTGTGTGTGTGACTCTGCGTGTGTGTAACTGTGTGTGTGTAACTCTGTGTGTGTGTAACCCTGTGTGTGTGACTCTGTGTGTAACTCTGCGTGTGTGTAACTCGATGTGTGTATAACTCTGTGTGTGTGACTCTGCGTGTGTGTAACTGTGTGTGTGTGTGTGTAACTCTGTGTGTGTGTAACCCTGTGTGTGTGACTCTGTGTGTAACTCTGCGTGTGTGTAACTCGATGTGTGTGTAACTCTGCGTGTGTAACTCTGACGCATCGATTGGCTCGAGGCGCGACGGATTAGCCGGTGGGTTGCCTCGTCGAGCCGCGCGTGAGATGCCGTGATGATTCACGCGCAGTCACAAAACATCCACGCGTCTGAAAAAGCGGTCGGGGTTTGTTGGAATTGATGCGTCCAATGTGACGTCTCGCAATCCCACACTCGCGCCACGCTCCTCTCACGCAAACGGACCCCGAATCTCGCTCGCTCGCTCGCATCCTCGCTCTCCATCACACCGTCACGTCCCTCGCTATGCTGCGTGCTCACCCACGGAAATATTCACTCATCGTCATCATCATCCTTCCCACAATCCCAACGTCACTCGCTCGCTCGCACCCACCCCTCGCTCTCTCACTCCCCACACTCACCACCCACCTGTTCACTCATCTACTCACTCACTCACTCACCAACTCGCTTACCCACACCTTTAACCACCCATCGACTCACTCGCCCATTCACGAATCCACGCACACCGACCACTCATTTACCGACTCACCCACTCACCACTCACCAACAACTCACGTGCGCTCACCCACCGACTCACTCGCTCACCCATCCGCCCCCCGGCTCCGCCACAAGGTTTGGTTCCAGAACCGGCGCGCCAAGTGGCGCAAGACGGAGCGGGGCAGCGGAGACACTGACGGGGACCGGGAGAGCCCTGGGGGGGAGGCGGCGGGGGCAGCGGGGGCAGCGGCGGGGGCGCCCAAGGCTCGAGCCTCCAGCCCTGAGCCCCCGCGGCATCGCAGGGAGGCGAACCCCAACCAGCCCAGGTGAGATATGTCTCTGTGTGTGTGTGTCTATGACTGTGTGTGTCTGTGTGTATGTGTGTCTGTCTGTGTCTGTCTGTGTTTGTGTGTGTCTGTGTGTGTGGTGGGGAGCGATAATGTAGCGGTTAGCGCGCTGCGTCTACGAACCCGGCGACCCGAGTTTGATTCCCGCTCACGGCCAACATCAGTAACGATTGTCCGAGCCGGTCTTGGGTCTCCCCTAGGTCGACTTGGCCTTAAATGAGTACCTGGTGCGATGTGTTAAAAACATCAGTACTGGGGAGACGAAGGCGGTCGGGAGTGGTCCTGGCCTTCATAGCGGCACTTGCCCCAAGATTATATTGAAGACTATACGATGATCTTTGTCTTTGTAATGACATTGCCCCCTAACAATACACTTTTTTAAAGCCCGAATCAAATTCTGCCATCGCGATAACTTCTCTAACCCCCCACCCCTTCCTGGTTATGCCTCCCTCGACCTTGTTACTCACGGTTCGACCCCGCTCCCCTGCCCCCCTGCCTCCCTGCCCCCTCCCCTCCATCCCCACTGCAGCGGGGGTCGAGTGAGCGTGGGGCCGTCTCCGTTCCCGCCGCCCGCGTGCTTCCCGGCGATGCTGGCGCTGAGCACGGCGTCGTACGCGCGCGCCCTCGCTCAGCCCGGCCCCCCGCCCGGCAAAGGTGCGAGCTCTCGCCATTTGACCATCGCTCAGTCGACCAGTCGCCGCTATAAACTACCAACACATGTCGACGCGTTTTAGATCACCGGGTTAAGGGGCTTTGAGCTGCGCAGCTCTTTTTCAGAAGCGACCTGGCCATCGCCAACGATAGCTCAACCGAGTGGCTTGTCACGTGGAAATGTTAGAGCGGCGGCCAAATGCTCTAAACGCGTGATGTTGATACTAAATGTGGAGGGGACAATCGGAGGACCCGGAGAAAAAACCCACGCGACCTCGGGAGAGAGGGGCAGGCAAACTCCAGATATACAGCAGGTGTGGGCGACGGGATAAAAGCCACGACCTTCTGTATACCAGGCGAGGTATACAGAAGGCTGACAGTGGATCGGTCAACAGAGATGCGTAAATAGTCGGACAAATCCACTTGGCCAGTCAAAGTCGGTCGGTCAAGTGGTCGCTCAAATACTTGGTCAATCGGTCAATTACGGGGATTTTCCCGGTCAGTTAACCAGTTGCCCAGTCAGTCGGTTATTCAATAAGTCGGTGAACTATAAGGTGAATTAAAGTCAATCAGGAAATCGATTTAGTCAGTCGATTAAATAGTCGGTCAGTCGGTCAGTCAGTCGGTCGTTAATAAAAAAAATCAGTCTGCTTCATACTCGGGCAGTTATTGGATCCGTTGTCTGGACAGTCGGTCAGTCTGATGAAAGGATGTCCAATCAACCACAGAGTCAGCTCAACAGTCGGTAGATTTTCTCGACAATGGACACGTCGGTATATTAATGAAGCATTCAATTGGTCGGTGGGACGATCAATCAACAGGCGAGTCAATCTAACAGTCACTTGGTCAGTCGGTCCTTTTTTTTCAGTCAATAAACCATTCGATCACCCAGTTGAGACAAACGGTTCAGGCACGTGGAGACACAAGGCAGTCACGCATGCACCACCTGACAACAGAGGACTGACAACTTCACAATGCCACACACCACACCGGTAACACAAAGCGCGCGCCTGTGACCCTGCACTTTGAGTGAAGGGTTGGTGGGTCACGCAGACGTTTGTTGAACATTCAAAACTTGCTGGACTGCGAGGTGACCAGGAGATGGCAGTGCGACACGTTGGCTGCATGGACACTCGAATATCTGCACAGATAGATTCAAGAATCCATTGCTGACTTTAACTGCCCGTTTACCTGGCCCAGTTGCATCCCATACTTACAACACCTGGCACCCCCAAGCAATCTCACATCCAATACTCCATTCCAACCATTCTCAATCCGTCAATGGACTAACGACTCCCCAAGCCAGGTTGATCACCGGTAGAGGCTGGAGGGGATGGGGGGGGGGGTGCAGTTGTGACCATACTTTACCACGCCGGTCAGTGCAGGCTGCTAAAGGAGAGGGTCACCACTCCACCCATGCAAATACCCCACTGACCAGGCTTTGCTTAGCACCACAGATCCAATGCGACCGGGCGCGTTAACCCAGCGGAGATGCGACCGCGTCCGCGCGCGTGACCCATTTTACAGCAGCAACTCCTCCTCTCGCCATGCTTCTCCCCGCGCTCGCGAGCAGGAGGCGGTGTCTTCTGCCCGTGCTGCGTGGCCGACCCTTTGGCCGGACCGCTGCCCCCGATGCTGCCCTACGGCTGCCCGGCCCCGCAGCGCAACGCCAGCGTCGCTGCCCTTCGCCTGCGCGCCCGGGAGCACGCGGCTGCCCTTCTGCAGCACACTGCCCGCCTGATGCCCTCGGCTGACCCCGCTCACTCGGCCGGAGCGCACGTGTCGATGCTCCGCGCACAGAGCCTCGGGCTCAACTTAAACCTGAACCTGGGCCCTTCGTTTGGTCTCCCTCCTCCTCCTCGGCACGCACCTCCTGCCACGTCCGCAGCATCAGCAGCAGTAGCAGCAGCAGTGTCATTATCGTCATCATCATCAGCAACAACAACATCATCATCATCGTCGTCGCCACCGGGACTCGTAGATTCTGGAGTTCACCTGTCCTCCACGCGTAATCACGTGGGCAGCGGTGAAGGTAGCGCGCAGATGCAGCAGCACATGCAGCAGCAGATGCAGCAGCACATGCAGCAAACTGCCCTGCTATTGCGACAGCCTCTGAAGCCGCCAGCTCTCCGCAGCATCTTGCACCCAATGGCCCCATCGAGCATCCACCAGGAGCTGGCGTCTGGCAGCATCGGCAGCGGCATTGCGGGATTGATGGATCCAAACTGCACTCCGACGCTGGTGACGGCAGTGGCCTCCTCTGACCGTCCGGCTCCTGGTGAGAACGCAAGGAGCTTGCAAGCCAGAGACAGCAGCAGCAGCAGCAGCGGTAGCGACCATGAACTGTGATCGCACACCAAGCCTCGTTCATTGAGAGTGCATTAAAAAAAATTGAAATAAAAAATAATATTTGCCCAACTCTGGACACATCTGACCGGGGGGGGCTGATGATCGCTGTCTCTGTGTCGTTATGTTCCCCGTGTCCACGTGCGTCTCTCTACGTTTCACTGTCTGTCTCTGTATATTTCCCTGGTGTGTCTTTCTCTATCGCTCTGTCTGTCTCTCTACGAGTCTCTACGATTGTACTATTCCACACCAATCTGTGTTGCTTGTGCCTGTCTGTCTGTCTATCTGTCTCCGTATATCTGTCTCTCTGCGTTTGTCTCTCCGCAATGTCTTATCTCTCACTCACCGTCTGAGATGTATTTGTTGGCACCCCCACGGACAATGTCAGTGCCCGTCACCCCCTCCACAGCTTTGCGCTCTGGACGGCTGCCCTGATCGCCCGCCCCCCTTAACTCCACAACCCACTGCAGGCGTCGATCAACGTCTTACGGGACCCGTCGCGTTCCACCAGGATCGCGTCCACAACAAAGATCCCTTCGTAGCAGCTGGTGGCTGCGGCGAGCATCGATGCCGCCCATTATAATCATCAATCTCCTTCGCGTTTGGGATTTTGTTGTGCAGGTGATTGGCGTGACGAAATATGTCTCCACTAGATTTGAAGTTTTCGTGACTGCAGGGATCCATACTCTTTGGTTATTTGGGTAAAGTCACGTAGGTATAAAATACAATAATTTAAATTCCACTTTAGAAAAAAAATGTCTTGCTGTGGGTTTTCCCACCTGATGATGATTGCTTGTGTTGCGATCGAAACGTCGTGATTTAATCTAGTTTTATTTTATACCTACGTGACTCCCGAAAGAACAAAAGAGTATGTCTCCACCGTCGTTTATTTTTTTGATCAGAATATCTGGGTGCTGTTGTTTATTGATCCTGAAGAGGGTAACTGTTTGTTTTTTTGCCCCGTCGTGAATTAATTCGCAACGCAGTTCATAAGAGGGTCACGGTGGTCTCCAAATGTTTGGAAAATACGCGTCCAAAGCAAATGTAAGCACGACGCTACCGCCACCGAACGCGTTGCACTCTCCAACCCGCACGACGATTGTCGAGGTCGTGTATTCAAATGTCCACCAAAAGAGCGATCTCTATCCCGCGGAGATGTCAACTCGCGCATCTTGATCGCGGATAATAGGATTGATGTGCCGCCACTAACAAGTGTGGCTCCATCTTCTTGGTTCTTTCGGTAAAGCCACGTAAAAGGGAAATAAATAATAATAATAATACAATAATAATAATAAAATACAAATACAAATAAAACATAATAAAATACAGTGGTGAGAATTATATTTTATTATATTTTATTTTTTATTATTTTATTGCTTCCCTTCTACGTGACTTTACCGAAAGAACCAAGAAGATGAATCCCTGCAGTCACGAAAGCTTTAAATCGAAATTTAAGTGTGGCTCCCTCTAATCCGCGAGAAGGTCGCAGATAATCGGGGGTGACAGGGGTCGGAGGGGGGGGGAATGTAGCAAATCGATTCTGGCTGCAGCAGACAAGAACGCACAGGCTAGACCTCGCTTAGCGCTCAAGATGCGTTCAGTGAGCGCTAATAACGACACGGGCATTCTACGAGGGGTTTCCGCTAAGCGAGGGTCTGCCTGGATATTTCTGTCGCGGATTGGAGGAGTTGCGCCGGATAGAGCAGGCAAGGTTGTTTTTGTTGTTGTTGGTGTTGTTATTTGTTTGCAACCTGCTGCTTCTGACGTGCACGAGACCCCTCTGCGCTTTACTGGACTCAAACGATTTGGCGGCGATGCTGCTGCTGCTGCTTTAGCAGTGGTGCACCGAGAAGAACATTACAATCAACTCGACACATTCGATCACACGGGTTGCCTTCAATGGGGAGAAAGGGGTGTATAATAGGCGACGTTTCATGCCACGGCCCCTCTTCATAGCAAAATACGGCAGGTAATACAAAGAAGGGGCCATTCGTGTATGTGCTATGACCAAGGACCATGGCTCAAAACGTCGCCTAATATACTGGTGCTTCGAATGTGTTTAACACTTCTGAGAATTAGCAACAACGCCACAAGAAATGTGCTTCCGGGCTCTGGAGACGGACTCGAGAAGGTTCCAGACACGCTTTGACAACGATGGCGAAAAAGTGGAGACTTTTGGAAGCTACTAACATCACATTTGTTATCATGTTACAGTGTAGTATCCGTTCTTTTTCCGCTAAAATCGATAGTCCCATGTCAGTGTTAACATTTTTTTGAAGCACCCAGTATTTTGTTACGGCGGTGTTATTTGACGAATGCGTTGGGTTTCTCTGTCACTTGAATCGGCACGCGATGTGCGGGACCCACGTTGGTTGTTGGTAATCGTTGCCAGCAACTGATACAACTTAAGCTATTTGACTGTTTTATTTTGGCCAGGTAAGGCCCACTGAACTATATAGCTCTTCTTTTTTCAGAAGCGACCTGGCCACAAATGATAGCTCAACGAAGTGGCTTATCGTCATGTGGAAATGTATCGCGGCCAAATACTCTAAACGCATGATGTTCAATTCTAAATGTGGAGGGGAACATCGGAAGACCCGGAGAAAAATCCACGCGACCACGGGGAGAGAGACGCACGCAAACTCCAAATATACAGCAGTAGCAGCAGGCGTCAGGGTCGGGATCGAACCCATGATCTTCTGCATACCAGGCGAGGTAGTTAACATCTCCTAGCCACCGTGGTTATGATGAGGGAGAGAGAGACACGCAAACTCTAAATATGCAGCAGCAGGCGTCAGGGTCGGGATCGAACCTACGACCTCCTGCATACCAGGCGAGGTAGTTAACATCTCCTAGCCACCGTGGTTATGATGAGAGAGAGAGACACGCAAACTCCAAATATACAGCAGCAGGCGTCAGGGTCGGGATCGAACCCACGACCTCCTGCATACGAGGCGAGGTAGTTAACATCTTCTAGCCACCGTGGTTATGATGAGAGAGAGAGACACACGCAAACTCCAAATATACAGCAGCAGGCGTCAGGGTCGGGATCGAACCCACGAACTCCTGCATACCAGGCGAGGTAGTTAATATCTCCTAGCCACCGTGGTTATGATGAGAGAGAGAGAGACACGCAAACTCCAAATATACAGCAGCAGGCGTCAGGGTCGGGATCGAACCCACGACCTCCTGCACACCAGGCGAGGTATTTAACATCTCCTAGCCACCGTGGCGCCCACAATCACGTGGTGGCTCAGTTAACCGTGGCGTTGCTTCACGGAGATTCCACTGCGATTGTTGACGTCGTACCCTTGTATTAAAGTATACGCGAGACTTTAAATAAAACGTATAACTGACTGTATATTCAGCCCTGCCTCGTGTTTGGCTAATTGAAATGTGTGGAGAAGAGGGGGGGGGGCGGAAGTGTCGTGGTTAGCGCGTTGCGCTACGAACCTCGGTGACCCGAGTTCGATTCCCGCTCACGGTCAACATCCGCGACGAGCACACGCAACGCGTGGAGCTCGCGTGAGGCCGAGTCTGTCGACACGAGGTGCGTGTGATATGTTGCACATGGTGATCGCTGTTGACCGGGACGCGGGCTTGTGGTCGAGTTGAGAGCGCAGTGCGCAAAACCACTGATTCGTCACTCCACGTTGCGCACATAGAGTCACCCAGAGACAGCCAGAGAGAGAGAGACAGTATTTAACACAGAAAAATACGGCATACACATGCCACACAACACCACAGACTACTCATCCCACACACGCAAGGACCCCACCCAACGCTTCCTCCACCGCCGGAAACTGGAGGCGAATCGCGGTGGATTCGTGTTAAGTTGGTGGCTTCGTTGTGGCCGAGGTAAGAACGGCGCGGTGGCGCAACACAGCAGAAAGTAAACCCGTACCCATTAGCGCGCTAATCACTGCTGTCTGTAATTAAATTGCGAACTCGTGTGTTCATCTCGCGTGTTCATCTCCGTGTTCATCTCCGTGAGCGCGCGTTGCCACGAAGCCACAGAGATGAACACGTAGAAGCTGCCATGTCAATACCTTCACTCATCTCCCCCGGCAATTCCATGCATTGTCTCGTTGCTAATAAAAATAATCGATGGATTGTTTTTGTTTCGTTCATGCATTCTCATTAGTAGTGTGTCTCCTGAGTTTGGTTTGTTTCTATAGCACGTGCAGGAGACGGGACTCGCTCTGTCCCTCGCCATCAGCACGCGTCTGGCATTAGGGAGTCGTTTGCATATCACTTACGTGAACGGAATCGCATCACGAGCCAAAAGAATCAATATTGATCGATGATTACAGTACGTTAATCATTGCACGCCGACTAATCAGACACGACGGGGTAAGCATTAAGAAGTTTGTCGTTAGTGTTGTGATATTGAAGAAGTAACCGTATTTGTTGAATGTGTTCATGAGCCGAATAATTAGCTCGCGCAAAGCCTACACGGCACGGGGAATGCATTTAATCGTTTATTTTTTCCGTCTGTTTACCGAGGAAAGCTTCAATGCGTCTTAAGACTCGTCGCTATGTTTTTATTTTCAGGAGGGTCCTGCCACGTGTTCACAGTCGGCGGCCAATGTTGCCGCTGTGAAATCCCAATGGAGTCATTTTCAATGAACTTGTATCAGCATCGGGGGATGTCACGTTGCACGGTTTTGTTTAAACCACGGGAGGAAAACCGGAGAAGCCAGAGGAAACCCACTCAGGACATGATGAGGACAAACAAAGTCGACGCATTAAGGCGCTCGAGTCGGTAATCGATCCCAGGGGATTCTTGATGCGAGGCACGAGTGTTACCACTGCACCACGCTGCCAGTTAATGCTGTGCATCTGTAAGTTACGAAACAAATACAGACTTTTCAGGTCCTAAAATGTTACTTGTCAGCTACAAATGCTGCCTACAGCTATCTAAATCAGCCTCAAGGATCTCGTAAATCACGTGACTTGGCTGTGGGACCACACCCACTCTGAGTATCTCGCTTCGCCCCGCCCCATGTGAAAACAGACGCTGCTCCGCCCAGCAACGTCGAGGCTCGTGTCAAGCCTCTTCCTCCCTCGTCCTCATCTTTACTGAACCTCTTCTTCCTTTCCTCCGTTCCTTTCCCATCTCGTTTCCTCCTTTCATTCCCCACTCCCCTCTCTCCTCTTCTCTCATCATGTTGGTGATGTGCACGTCTTCTTCGAACGCTGGGGAGCCGTAAAAGCCCTCTTTACCAGCGTGGACGGCACCCTCGTGTTCACCTTCTGAAACGCTCGCTCGTCACCGTGGCGTGCGCGATGACACCACAACCACGTGACTTTTCTTTTGTATTGTAGCGTTTATTTTCATTTGTTTGCTGGTGACTTTGTGTATTTCATATTGAAATCGCCTCCAGTGATTTTGCTGCTGGCGGCAATAAAAGTTGTTAAAAAGTCAAAAAGTCTCCTCTTTCCCTTTCCCGATCCTTTCTCGTTCCCCATTCATTGCATCTTTGACTCGACTCGCCTTCCCGGCGTGTGCAGCCACGGTGACAAAAGTTACTCGTCGCCCATTTATCGACGAATGAGATGTTGCCTCGAGCTTATTATCGACCGGGCGAATGTTATCTGCGTGGATGGAACAGTGGCGCACACTTCACCAACTCGCACTGACCAGCGTGAAGAGGTTCTGGTGAAACTCCCTACGATGTGGAGGGGGCGTTCCTCCATCCAGCAGTAGATTGACGAAGGGCCGCGACTCAAGTGATTTATTTAGACAACTACAGACAAATACCGATGTGGATGGCGCATTGCTGCCTCGTGTTAGCGCTCGATTGTGCATTGCGTTGACGAATTCAACGCCACGTGCGACACTCGCTTGACGCGTACGCGTCTTCACGCAGCGTTGATGCGCGCCGCTTGTGTCGTGTGCGGCGTCACGAGCCAGCTGTGACGATTGTCTGAGCTGGTCCTGGGCCTCCCTCTAGGTCGACTCAGCCTCAAATGAGTATCTGGTGCGGTGTGTAAATTCATCACGACTGGGCGTGATGCTGGACACCCACCTCTTCGTGTGCCGTGGCGGCCTTCATGGGTGCTCGCTAACAGCACTTGCTCCAACAGTCTGTTAAGGCTACACGGGGGGTCTTCGTCTTTTGTGCGTGGGGTCTGTGGGCAGCGCTGGCTCAGTGGATCCTAGGGGAGGCCTTAATCCAGCGGTAGATAGGGCATGCCTCGTGACAATGATAACGGTGACGAAGCTAATCAAACGATCGTGTTATTGCGTTG